AAAACATTGGCAAAATTAGTGAGAGAGATTGAAATCATCTTAGAACCAAAAAAGCTGTCTCTACTTTATGCATTTGACCAACCAAAAAGGCATGTTGAATTACTTTAACTAGAGATGCTTCCATTAAATCTGGTCATTTCAACAATTGAATGACAAAACTCCAAGTCTAGATTGTGTTCATAACCAGAAAAAGAGCAAAAAGCTGTCTCTACTTTATGCATTTGACCAACCAAAAAGGCATGTTGAATTACTTTAACTAGAGATGCTTCCATTAAATCTGGTCATTTCAACAATTGAATGACAAAACTCCAAGTCTAGATTGTGTTCATAACCAGGAAAAACAGCAAAAACTGTTCAAGAGAAGCATCAGACCACCTTGTCTGAACTGAAAAACTATATCAATAGCAATCACCTTGTTGCGTCAAATCCTCCCATGTAGCAATATTTGGATGCTGATATGCCACCATCAGGGCCCTAATTATAAAGCAATTTTTACAATAAATAACTACCAAAAATTCTACAGAGGATAAATTTGAGAGAGAGAGAGAGAGAGAGAGAGAGGGAAACCAACCTGTGCCCTTCTGAGTCCAAATTCAAGAAGCAGTTTAGACTTTCCAGCAACAAAACGATGCCTGGCAGCATTAGTAGCAACCAACGATGCATAGTTAATAAGATTCACAAATGGAGTTTCGAGCAGCTGGACCACCTTTAAGAACAATTAGAACCACTCAGGACGCATTCATAATAGTGGGACACATTTCAAGAAAAATAACCGTCATTGCACACTTTGAAAACATTTATCCAGAGAAGATGCTTTAACAATATGATCTTGACCAAACTTAGTTCAACTACTTACCGCAACTGGTCCTTCAACCCTCAACAAAGGAACTTTAGGGAAGACTACGGATCCTTCAGAGATAGAATATATTTCAATATCTGAACAATCAAGTCCTCGGAGGTAATCAAAGAAACTATCCTGCATATTATTCAAGGACAAAGCACTTGGCAAGTCAAATCATAGATGAAAATGAAACATTTACCAATATCCTTAAGTTCCTCTTTAGTGCATAAAATGCATGATTATATGATCCAATGACACTTTTAAAAACTTTTATGTAGATCACACTTTTAAAATTCTTATCTCAATGACACTTTGGTACTTCTATCATTACCTACATTAACCATTATTCGATTTTCAAACTCAAACCGAGTTCAATCGTGCTTCTTCAAACTGCAGGTATGCATATATAGGAACCAGTTGCATATTAAACTAGATAGTCATATATAGGAACCAGCATTGAGTAATTTTACCTCGCATGGTGGAGGTAATGTTGCCCGCACAAAAGCAATCTCATCCTCTGTAAAATTAAAATGAGCAACAAATCTTATGCAATCTTCTAAACCAGCAAATATTGTATATTCACCACCAAAGGGGTTCTTCCGGAAATACAAGTCAAACCTGAAACATTTTCAAGAACAGAATCTAAGCTATGAAAGACAAATTGGTTAGAACTTAGAAATTCAGTAATACATTAGAGAAAAAGCAAGAGTTGATTCGTCAAGTTGAGATGCAACTACGCTGAACTGCAGAAATTCGAATTGTACTCAAATGATGGAACAAGAATTATAAAATATAACCAAAATCTCAAATTCTGAGATGACATGTTTTCTTTCAAGATCTGCTTCAAAACTAGGAAGAATTGACCAGGCTTAACATATAAATTTCAGTCTCTTGAAGTTCGCATGCATCCACAGCTATGTAATTTGAAGCAAAAGCAGAAAAGAACTGGCTTAAACCCACAGCAAATTATTCAGGAACAAAATGCACAATCATGTATCTGTCAGTTAGATAGTCAATAAATTGATCTAGATTCTGGAAACAGCGTAGTAAAAAAAAAAACGAGTGAACTTTGCAGCACACTTAATTGACAATAAATTTGCAATTTATCAGAAGAAAATTTTCCAAATTAAACAGCCATGAATAAACTAATAACCTTCACTTATAACATTATCTAATTATCTAATACACAAACAACAAGATATTTGTTTCTCAAAAAAATAACAAAATTTCTAATTACTTCTAAACAACAAGTTGGAGGTAACTCACTTCAGATATATCAAAAGGCATCAACTCTACGAATTAATTGACCACGACAAACACATAATTTACATATTTGTTAGCCGTGAAGAAACCCAACGAGTCGAGAAAACGCATTAACGAAGGAGATAATTAATTATTTACATATTTTGTTAGCCGTGAAAAAACCTAACGAGTCGAGAAAATGCATTAACGAAGCAGATGATTAATTAAAAGCAGAAGGAAATATTGGAAAGGAGTTATTGCAGCAAGTTTTAACGAAAGAACCGAAACTAATGAGTTTAGATGAATTTTTTTCTATAAAAAAAAAAAAAAGGCAACAAAAGTCTCACACGGCTCGTTCGTCGTGCTTGCCGGCTTTCCAGTATGCATAGGCCATAGTGAACTGATAGAGATCAGTAAGCAAAGGCGTCACCATTGGATTAGTGGGTCCATCAATTACACCCCCGTTCCGATTTTCATCAACCTTTTTCGGACCGTTCGCTACGGCTGCTTCCATCTCTAGGGTTTCGTTCTCAAATCTATTCGGCTTTGTATATATTTTTTTTTGCGGGAAGGAGAGACGAGAGAATGGAGAAGCTTGGAGACGATGAAGAGGGGATAGAAAAGAACCGAGGGGCAGTTGAAACCGTTAAAAACGAAGGGAAGGGGTGACAGAGGACGACAAAATGACTCTATGTCAGCTGCGGATATATACACTACCACTCCCTCCTTCATTTAATGTTGGAGTATTTATTTGTTTGGATATATAAATTAAACGAAAACGGACAGGAAAAAGAGCAACCGACCGTGACCGGAGACCGAAAATTCAGTGAGCTCGACCGGGAGGGAAAAAGGCTGCGGGGCCGTGGCGGGTGTCAAATATAAAAAAATATATAAATATGCTGACAAAAACTTGAGCCAACAGTGCATTGTAGATCCCGCTTAAACTTCTGCTCCTCTTGGACCCGGGCGGCACACATGATAATGCTTGACAACTAATAAGAAACTTCGTATCTCTGGACGTAATGAAGTACGATGATACGAGTGTGTTTGGATTTTGTATTTACATACATTAATTTATTTATATTATTGATATTTTTTTAATTATCTTTTTATCTCATATACATTGAATCAAAAAAAAAGTTACAATATTTTTTTCACAAAATTATCTCAAATAATTTACTATCCAAACACACAAAAGTTAATTATAGTTATATTAGAATATAATCAAACAATCTAAAATATATGGGTATGAAATAGAAATTAATAGGTTAGAAGATTAAACAAAGCAGTTTAGTTATATTAGAATGCAATGAACCGTCAAAATTCCGACAGATATGAGAACTTGCTATTTTCGATTTAAGTTATTGTTTACGATTAGTATTAAACTAAAAAAAAAAAAAAATTTTTGATGCAGTCTTACTTTAATTTAACATTTGGAGGTGCATTGCGTCCTGCACGTAGGTCAGAATTTTAAATGTAAAGACTATCACGTTCAACAAAATATATATATATATTTTTTTTCAAACATTTTTATCATTAGGTTAAAATAAGTCAAATGTGCCATTTTCTTTCTTTCCTTTTTTTTTCTCTCCCTGAATTCTTCCACTGTCATCAACCGATGGTGAGGTGCTAATATTTTGTGACTTTTTTTTAAAATTTAAAGAGAGAATTTAAATCATACAAAAAAGAATGAGAATAGAGAGTTGAATCAGACAAGATTTCCGATTAATATCAATAGTTTGTGAATCTAAATGTGACAAATGTCTTTTCGGTGTTTTCTCTTGCAAGTTAGCGTTCTAAACTAAAAGCATAGCCGATCAACATCGATTAGTTGGTCAAAATACGAGGAAATCTAGACAGCAGTTGGTTAGATTTGTAGAAATTACTCCTATGTTGAGCTGCATGTCTGGGGTCATAGAATAAAGGACTTAGTCATTTATAATATTGAGCTATATACATATATATAATAAAGATGGAATGGTAATCTTATGAATAATTCTCGACGTGACAACGAAGATGCGTGGCTTAGTCCTTTTTTTTTTCACCTAGGAGTGTCCGGCCGTAACTAATTCCCTAGGGCTCGGGGGAAGGTGCTCAACCTGAACTCCGAGTGAGGTACACTTAGAACTTGAATCGTGATCGACATATTCTAAAAAGGGGGACCGAAACCACTCGAGCTGCCTCAGGAGGGGCAGCTTAGTCTTCCGCTTAATTTTAGAAAAATTGGAACGCTTCTTAACACACTAGGATATAGACAAATATTTGGATAGAGTGTTATTTGAAATAATTACTGTAACACTTTTTGTGATGTAATGTATGCGAGATAAAAAAATATTTAAAAAATATATTTATAATGCAAGCGAAATATTATTTGATATCCAAACAAAACAAAGGTGTTTTGCTAAAGCAACGTAATAACGATACTGAACTTGGTTCGGAAACATTTAACTGCATATAAGCAACTAGTGCCTAATTTTCCTCTTTAATGTTTGTTTGTGGCGCTTTTTTGGTCCTAGGTTTGACATGACAATGTGAAGAATCAAACTTTCGTTGGACTTTCTGAAGTGACAAGGAAATGTTGTAGTAAACCACAGCTGGAGAAGATGTCGTGTTCAACAATGCCCGCCCCTTACGCAAGCGCCAACGTTTGGTTGTGTTCCGTAATCAAGTTGAATTTGAAAGTGGAAACGCAAAAATCCTGCAACAAGTTTGCAAATGTTACATGCTCTATTGTCCTGTCAGCCTCTTGTTTTTTTCCTTGTTTCCCTCTTTCTCTTTCAACCAAGTGCTTATTGGAAACTAGACATTGTACCAATTTTCCTGTGCTTATTAGAACCCAAGACTAACGCGTTTAATCTTTTCTTGGTGTCCTGGAGCCGTGCCCAACTCTCAAAGCTGGAAAGCATCCTTCGTTTCGTCTAAATTTTTATGCACTGCCGGTCAGTCCTGACATCAAGAACAGTTCCACCGAATATATTACTGAGATAATATAATTTATAGAACATTTGTTTCCTTGTTTTGATTAGCCAAATTGGAATCCAATACCCCATCATCCAAGTGAAGAAGGAGTATACCATCACCCCGAACACTTGAAGCTTGGCGTTGCTAAGACGCTAACGAGTCCTCATAGCAAAAGGCGAATAATTTTCACGAGACAGGGAGACTAAAGCAAAATAGGGGCCGTGTCCCTGTGGAGTTGGTGGATTGCGTAATACACTCATCAGTCCTAAGCTAATGACTTCGATCCTCCCTGAAACACGCGTGAAAACTGATTACGCTGTTCATATTTTCTCCAACAGACGAAGGATTACATTCTAGCTGCAGAATGAATGTATAGAGACCACCAAGCTTATCCAATTCAACAGATTGTGTGATCGCAATAGCTTCGTAAGCGCCAAGAAATGGTACCATTAGATTAGACATGGTGAGCAGCCATACGCTTTCTGCAACAGTAGAGAATCTAGAGTTCACTTGTAGACGTCCAATTCTAACATAAACAACAGTGAATCAGCTAATCCTCGAGTCAGTAAAACTTGTACTCCCAGGCATCACACGAGCAGATGTAATTGTCGCGAGAGTGTTCTGGTGTTACCAAATGCCACGGGAGTCACTGCTTCCCCGTTTTTGAGATTCTCAAAAGTCGCATCTTTCTGCTTTGATACTATCGTCAACCAATGGACTCGGTCCGGTCTGTGTGCTGGTTAAAGAAAAGGATAAAATCGAAGATTAGAGTTACCGAGTACAACTGATGGATTAAAGAAACGCCTCTCTTGACTGAAATTACCCATCTACTTGTGACAAAAGAAGATTTTTGCACTCCATATTTTTAAGCAGCCTTCCTCCCGATTGGTCCCTTCCAAGGACCCATGCTTCCAGAATATTTTGCTCCAAACCAGATGGTAGTGCATTGAGAGCAGTTGATCCTGTTGCTTCAGCTCCTATATGCTTCGCTGTTCATGCGCATTAGATTAGAGCAGGATAAAGCAAGTGCATCTGCACTCCAGTTGCTAATTTCGGGCCCTTTTCTTTGGAAAAAAGAAATTGCTATAATCTTACTTAAAGACAAGGTACCAAAAATCTTATTCAGAATATGCCAAAACAGTTGATCAAGTATAGAGTTTACATGCAGGTGAGTCACAACCCACCTACTGATTTTCTTCTAGAAAGATCCTGGTTTGCTTGTTGACTGGGTGATTTCTGCCCCATGCAAGTTCCCTTCTAAGAAACAAAGTTCAGTGTCAGACTACTAGGGCTTCTATTGCACAACAGCAGAATATACTAGAGTTACCTTAGAAGTTCCAGGTAGCGGGAACTGAATTGGTCTGTGATTACCATGAATAATTGATGCTGGTGCAAATGCATCTTCTGAATCACTCAGCTTGGATTGATTAACATCTGATGCCTGCTTAGCTTTCTTAAAATTGTCAGGTAGATCGAACAGGATATTAGTAGGGGTAACCGGCTTCAGGGGAAGTGCACTCGCCAAGCTCATGTCCAAGGATCTGTTATCCTCGTACTCCGTTCTTGTTTCAGGAACTTGATTCGATGGCAACACTCCAGGAAGACACATGGGATATAGGCTTAAACCATTTCTCACTGTCAACAACTGGAGAAGCATAATTTTCCAAGATGAATAAGCATTAAGTGATGAACACAAAAACAACTGGCAAAGAGGAATATTAATTGGGGAAAGAATGCTCATAAAAACACCTTAGACACATGGAATGTAACAAGTTCTACAGAAACCTCGAGTTTAAAAGTGAAAATGATAACCTTTCACATCTACAAGTCGAAGAAGGAAAGCTGCAGGATGCCAAAGAGATATGACAATATCATAACAGCAACTGGGGGGAAAAACGAAAAAAAAGTATAAGAAAAAAGGTGGGGGGGGGGGGGGGGGGGGGGGAGGGAGAGAAGCCTCTGAAGTTAACTAATTTTGGCTTAAATTGTCAAGGACATAATTGAACACAGTTCTAACAACCAACAAACCTGAAAAGAATTGTAAAACAAATTTGTTTCTCAGAAAGCTAGATTCATCGTAAGTAGCCAAATTCTTCTACAAAATGAAAGCACCACTATAAAGTCAAAAGGCACATGCTTACAATTTGACAAATGCCCAACTAGACTGCAAAGACCTCAAATCAAATGGATGAACAGAATAGCTATTAGCTGTTATGTACATTTCTAATCCTGAGATTTTCGGACTTTATTTTGTTTTTGAGTCCATAAGCAGCACACAAGAACAGGGTCATCCAATGTCTGGGGGCATATGCTCAGAGAAATGATCCAGTGGAAGAATAAACCTGGGCCAGCAACACGATCTGAAGACTCAACAGCTATAACATGTACTTCTATTTTGAAATTTTCCATCTTGTGCAGTTTTGGCGGCCAAGTTGTTGTGGTCTTAATTACAGTTAACGCACTACAGAAACAAGCATTCTAGGTGTAATTTGTTTCCTCTGAGACTCAGACATGCATTTCAACCTTCATCAGTTTTTCTACACCATAGATACCTTGGATCAGAAGGACACGATGAGAAAGTGACAATGGAAGGATGTTGGACTTTGGTCCCCCAAAGCCATGGACCTACGAATTGGAGTTTGGGATGACAAATTAACCTTATTTAATCATGTGGCTGAATTTCTTCTTACGTTTATAGGCATCAAATCATTGTCTACCTCATGCACCTAAGGTCATAAGGAAGGATTAAAAACTCAGAATCTAAAAGCTGTTTCTGTATGCTTGATCAACAAGAAAGACGTGCCAATTAAAACTCGAGCAAAGGCAGAAGAAATAGCAAAGCTCAATTGACTAGTCATCCTAGTTGATAAAGTTGCAATTGACTAGTAATCCTACAGAAGAAAGATGCGCACTTGCTGGAAAAGCTACTGAAACTATTGCTACAGCTATAGGGTACTTTTCAAAACCGCACAACCTGTCAGGATTAATGTGTATTTCAAGTTCATGGCCTGCTTCAACGTTTGATGTATAAAGAAGAATACATAAATAAAACTAAATCTGGAGGCTCACAGAAAACCACATACTACGAAAATTAGTATAATGGGCAACGCACCTGTACTTGTAGCTGAAGTTGCTTGAGGTACTCAATGGCTTCATCAAGCATTGAAGCCTTATCGGTCTAATGCAGACACACAAAACAAACATAGATTAACACCAAACAGCATTCAACTTAACCAACTAAAATTCCACCAAATTGCTCCTCTGGAATCTGGATGATCTTACCAGTATTAATCAACTATCATTCTACTTGTTGAGCAACAGAATAAGTCAAATTTACCTTGTTCGAATTGGGTATCAGATTTTGTAGTGCTTTCATTTTCTCATTTATCCTGCTCCTCCTCCTCTGTCCAATATACCAAACTCATGAAAACCCATGACATGCAGGCGTTATTACAAAATACACACATACACTTATAGTACATCAAAAATTCAAAAAAGAAATCAACGTGAAATTTGTTCACCATATTAATTAGTTAACTTAGGGCGACCTTTTCAGATAAGTTATGAACTTCAGCTGCTCTACTCCTCTTGGACGCGTTGCGGGGCGCAGTTGGGTTAACCATGGCCTCCTCCAGAACTTCCAAACCCTGCAACATGATTCCATCAGCTAAATAAGCAAAACATAGACATGCATCTCTCGAAAGTAATTGGATATGGGGCATGCAAAAATTGCACGAGGAACTGAAAATACAGAATACTTGTTTATCTGAGTTCATAATACAATACCTCACTTTCACAATCATAGTCATTGAGATCATTATCCATCGTTGCAACAGAAACCGAAGAAGATGACACATTCACTCCACTCTCCTGGCAAAAAGACCCCAACCCCGGAGAAGTAAAACCCCCACCGTAAGACCAGTGCTGCAGTCCAGCTGAAGGGGCCTCCGGTATAGAGATCCGCTCAGTACTGGAAACCAAATGCAACCCACAACCTTGATTTCCAGGATAAGACTGCACCTCGTTACCCTTCTGAGCCATAAAACTTGTGGAAGAAGAAGTACGTGATCGAAGCATAATTTGATGCAAGAAAAGAGAAAAATCGTCCGGGTCATCTGGGGATGAAGAAGAACAGTTTGCTGTATCGTACAAGTTCGCCATTAAGCAGAAATATCAGTTTGACTTAAGTATGTTTTGAGTTCTTGAGCTTCGTTATGGGTTGTCTGAAACAGCTGAAAGTGTTAGCATTACTTTAGTGCGCAGAACTGCTAGAATTATTTTAGGCTTTGGATGCAAGTTGAGAAAAAGCAAAAGGGTAGGGGTGAGAACTGAGAAGCTCCGCGGCGGGGGTCCAGAGGATTTAAATAGTATATTAAAAATGTCGGAAATGAATACGAAGAAGAAGAAGAAGAAGAAGAAAGAAGAAGGGTAGAATTGAGGTTTGACCAGTCTACTTTTGTGCTGGGAACTGTAACAAACGGCAACGGCGAACAGTGAACAGTCTTTCACGACTGGCCCAGACTGACCATAGTATGGAGGGAGGGTATGGCGCGGTTTTCCTTAGAAAGCGGTGAAAAGAAAGTTGACAATGGGAATTGGGAGTTCAGGTCAGGTCAGGTGTAAGCAACTTTAAGCCGCACCCGCACGTGAGACGCACTAGTTGTATTCTGCCTGCTTGTTTGCTGCAGTGTTTCGAAAATCGGATCGGACCGGCCAATTCGATAGATTGAACTGCGAATCAGTCACGACATCTGATTCTATGTTAGTGTTGACCATGCTAGAAAATCAATATAGTAACTGTTTTATTAATTTTTTTAATAATTTATTTATATAAAACAAATACTCATATTTCTTTTTTTCATTTTTCTTACAAAATCTTATTCTCTCATGATTCTTTTTTTTTTATTTTTAACTCTCTCTCTCTCTCTTTTTATCCTCTTTTCTTTTGTCACTCCCTTTTTAATCAAACATCTTTATTTTTAATTTATTGATGTTTTCTTACATCTTTTAATTTTATTTTTGTCCATTAAATTAAAAAAGTTAAAAAAGAATTATTTTTCTTTAACCCAAATTATTTAATGCCACAACCACTTACTTTTATCTCATTTTTTGTTTCTTATCAAGTTTGCATTTCTATTTTCGATTCTCTTAACTTCTTTCGAACTCAAAACTTTCTTTTTTAAATTACAATCTCTAAATCCCAAAACGTAAATTAAAATTAAGTTCACAATGTCTAAATTCTCATAGACGTGAATTTTGTATAATTTCAAAATATTGTGATATTTTTGGGTTGGATTTAAGATTTTTTGTTAAATATAATTGAAATTGAGATGAAGTTTATTTGTTTTAACGTATAATTCAAAAAATTTATTTTTAAAAATTCAAGTTATTCAAAAATAGTAAACTTTTCATCATGTAAAATATTAAATTAGTCCATTACATGTCTTATTTTGTGCATATATGTATTTATATAAATTATTTTTAAAAAAGTTCATTGAATTAAGATTAAACCGGTCTGATCGGTTGAATCTCGACCCTTTCACTTCACCGATTCAATTAACGGTCCGGTTTTAAAAAACATTGGTCATTACACTCCAAAGAAATAGTATAGCTAGTTAGGGATGACCTTAACATCTGGACCCTATTTTCTCCTGGACCTTGTCTTAACCTATTTAATTGCAAACTTCTAATGTAGATCTAAAATTTACTAATTAACTTTTGTTTGGTCGACCTTGAAAATGTTTGTTAAGGGGGATAAATATTTTGTTGGTTAAGCTACTTGCAGTTTGTTCAACATAGAATAGAAGCAGAGCGATGCTGGTAGGCGTGGACGCGTTGTTTTCGGTCAAGTTGGCACTTGGCAATACGAGTGATGGAATGAGTATTAATTAGACTATTTATTTAATTTAGCAATGTTTTATTCTTAGGACCGGCTGGTGATACTGCTGAATAACTGACAATTGATGGAAATTGCTCGTACAAATGGTGCAGTAGGTGGATAAAATCTTATAGCCTTTTGCTCGACCACCACGATTCTTGGTTGTTCCCGCGTCTAGCATGATTCATTTGTTGATCAGCGGATTGGACCATTTTGGCCCCTCGAAATTGGCTCGACTGGTGTTGGGGTTGTCTAGTTAAGTCCTGATACTGTATGGTCGCGTTTGACTCCTTCTACCATATTGTGTATTCTTGGAGGACGGGGTACACAAGTGCAGGAAGATTACTTTGGCCAAAGGTTGGGATACTCTCTCTATTAAAAAAAACAAAGAATTGGACCATTTTGTAGCGGGACAGTTCAATCACTCTGTTATATATACTGTAAAGTGGTTACAACACACATGTTTTGCTAATTACACACGAAAATGTTGTACATAACCATTAAAATTTGAGCTAATCTTTGTTGTTAAATTAAATATGGAGTGAAGTTCGTGCCCTTTTTTTATCTCTATCAACTACCACCCTCATAACTTATAATGTGATTAAAATTTCTATTTTTCTATAAGACTAAAATCTTATTGCCGTCTAAACTTTTAAATTTGACAAATCAAATATCCATAATTAGATTTTGGCTAGATAATTGATAATTTGGCATTCTTTTAATTTTAAAAGTAAGCTAAAATATTGTTTTTTTTTGTCTCATCATCAAGTTAAAAATAAAATAAATTAATTTTCAATAATATATTTATAACAACATAAGTTGTAAATTATGACTTATAACACGAATTATTAGTAGATTACCATTTATACAATATAGTGTCAATATATAAAATTTAATAATCTAGCCGATAATTTGAAATAAGAATGAAGATTAGATAGTATTGCCAATATCAGATATTCATTTTGATGAATCAACTTGTTTTAGTTCCTGTTTGATAATCCAATTGAATACTTAAATTTAATGAATTCAAATCTTAATATATACACACGCATTTGATGATAAAAAAATAAAATATCTGAATTGGTTATATGATGTCGAATTTTCTTAGCATAACTTGCTCATAAACATAAGGGATAAATTATTGACTTATCATTTAATATGATACACACTAAAAAACATATCAGATTTAGTACTTAACAATTCAGTAATTCAATTGATTTAGGTTTTAGGTTTCAAATTTCTGTTTAATTAAATGCATCCTTAGTCAAGTTAATCACTAGAAGGAATTTAAAACATCTCTTTAGGAAATCCAAAAAATGTGCCAAAACATTCTTTGCTATAAATGAGGTGCTGTCTTCACTCTTAACACTTCATATAACCTAATTAAGTTATCCTTCTATCTTCTCTCTAGCCCCATATATTGCCCAATTATGGCCCTGTTTGGAAGCTTGATTTTTTACCAAGTTTGTATAAAACTAGTTTTTTAACAACTTGTGCTACAGGAACCCCCAAAAACTCACCAAAGTTTTTAACCTACACACTTAAAATATCCAAAACACAAAAAAAAAAAATTCTCATCCCCTTTTCTTCTTTTTCCTCTACCACCACCACCTCCATTGCCGGCTCCGTCGCCAATTCCCGCGTCAATTCCCGGTGCCGGTGCCGGTCTTCTTTTTTTCCCTCTTTTTTCCCTCTTTCTCCCCTGCCATCATCCTCTCTTGTCTTTTTTTTTTTTTTTTTCTCTCTACGTCCGGCCCATTCCTACCGTCTCTGTGGAAAAAAAAAGAAAGAAAAGAAGAGGGTGAGAAGTGGGAAGGGGACAGGGAAGGCGGGGAGAGGGGGAAGGGGCAGAGGGGGCGCGGGGGAGGGGGAAGGCGGGGGGAGTGGGAAGGGGCAGAGGGGGGCAGGGGCAGGGGGAAGGCGGAAGGCAGGGGAGGGGGGGACGGGGGGGCGGCGGGGGAGAGGGCGCAGGGCAGGGAGGGGCAGGGGCAGGGGGGAAGCGGAAGGGGGGGGGAGAGGGAAGGCAAGAGAGGGCGGCTGCGGGGGGAGGGGGAAGGCGGGGCAGAGGGGGCGGCGGGGAGGAGAAGGGGAAAGGGAGGAGAGGGGTGGCGGTTGCTGGCAGGCTGCTGGGGGTGGCGGAGGTAACGGGGAAGAAGAAGAAGAAGAAGAAGAAAAAGAGAAGAAAGAAAAGAAAGAGGAAAGAAAGAAAAAGAAAAAGAAAAAGAGAAGAAAGAAAAGAAAGAGGAAAGAAAGAAAAAGAAAAAGAAAGGGAAAGGGTAGAGAAAAAAAATAGAAAAAAAAAGTTTTTCACCTTACAAAAACTTCTACAAAATTTTTCACCTTACAAAAACTTCTACAAAATTTTTTCAAAAACTTTTACAGTGCACTACAGTAAAGTTTTAGACAAACTCCCAAAAAACTCAGGTTCCAAACCGGCCATATGTTTCCCTGAGCGGTAGAATTGGATGGTATAAATATTCAATAGACTTAAAAGAAAAAAAAGTACTATTCATTTGGCGAGATCTGCCGTTAAAAAAAAAAATTTTTCCGGAACTTTAAACACCCCAACCCTGCCTATGCCGTCCGATCAAACGTCACCTTAAGCAGACGGTAACAATTTGTACGTTCTATTTTAATGAGTATCTTCTTGGCAGCCTTTTTCAACAGAATACCTACGTGGCAGTATGCCATTGGGTTTGAGGATCTCAAATCCCCCCCTACAGGCGAGACCATCAGAGTATCTACGTCTCATCATCAAACGTCATAAATTAATGCCAATTCCTCAACGGTAAGCAGCAGCCATCCAAAGTCGTCAGTATTTGGTAAAAGAATTAAATGACGTGTCGATAGTGTAACACCGCGAGTGCCTCGAGATGTGTGGCCACGGACCACACTATTTGTGATCGGACGGCGTAGGATTGGTTCAAGTCTCGTCTCTGATCTCACAGGTTGATATGATTGGTTCTTTGGTGGAAAGTTTGAAATTGTGCACTTCCGATGATGGGTTTGGTGGGTGACGTGTCATGTCCCGCTTGTACTTTTGCCTTGGCTTATTGCGGAAACACTCCATCGAGATTGAATTGTGACGATCTCTAGGAAGAGTAGGGAAGAAGATCAACGGCTGATCTTATTTGGGTAGATTGTACGCTTTGATTGCTGGATGTACCATCGTCTTCCTCGTGGGCTCTGACTTTCACAGGGAACGCTAGACATATCACGCGACCGGCGAGAGCGTAGAGCAATAGAGTTTGACTGCTCTTACAACCGTGGGGTCAACATCGTACTCAGCAAATCATGGGCTTTAAGGAACTATGCCACCTAGCCATGGATGGAATAAGAGTTAGTTTGCAGTAGGCCAGCCCAACTTCAAATCTAACCGTAGCTAGCAGGTCCAGGTTAATCTACCTCTCAACAATTGTCAGCTTGATTATTTCAATCTTCCGGAGGAACCAGCCCAAACGATGTTTACCTGAAGAAAAGATTTATTGTTAATTCTATAAACTTACTACTTCTATCTTCATTTAGATCCTGGTGTAACACCGTATATTTAAATCAAAAAAATTTTGTCTAATAATTAATCCGGCCTTTCGGGAATTCTAAAAAAAAATTATTTAATACAGAGGATGATACTTTCCTACACTTTCAATGTATATATTTATCGGTTTGAATGTTCAATTCAAAATTTACATTTTTTGTTA